ACCTATTTGTTAGTATTTTAAAATATATATATATATATATATATATATATATATATATATAGAGAGAGAGAGAGAGAGAGAGAGAGAGAGAGAGAGAGAAAGAGAAAGAGAAATAGAAAGAGAAAGAGAGAGAAGAGATACACTAGAAAAGTTGATGACACTTAGGATCTTATCTACAAAAGACATACAACTTCGAAATTAAATTTCATTCAATTTAGGAAAAACGTCCATTGTCCTTTCTGTCTCTATCTCTCTCAGGAACGCCTTTCATCTTTGAAGCTTTCATTGTGCTGCTTTGGGGTCAATGGATTTTAAAATCCAACTTTATACATACATATATATATATATATATATATATATATATATATATATATATATATATATATATATATATATATACACTTTTAATTTTTCTATATTTCGCTTTATTTTTCTGCTTTCCGTAAAGAATTTAAACACAGAAGATATCTGTGTGCATTCGGTGTTCATATCAATGAATTTTCATGAGCTGATAGAATTGTCTCTGTCGGAATGCAATGTCTTTTTCTAATGTCACGAGAATTTTTCGCGGTCTCGCATCTTCACGCGTCAGTTTGTAGTTTCCTGTCGAGTTATTTCATTAATTGTGAAATATGTTTTTTATGTTAAATTGAATTAAAACTTTTAATAATATTGGGGTTTTGGATTTTTGTTTACTGTTTTTGTGAAGGCCTTTAATATTCGTTATCGATGTTTTTACAATATTGTGTTATAAATACATATGTATATGTATGTTTTAAGACATTTTTATGTTTATACATTCTTTTTTATAGATACAAATATTGAAGTAAATGCTCTGTTTATAATAAACAGTATTAAATAACATTTACCGGCCTGAACGTCCGAGAAATTTTCACAGAAAATATGCGTCCTCCGACATTCAAGCCGGTAAATGTTGTTTAATACTGTTTATTATAAACAGAGCATTTACATATTTGTATCTATAAAAAAGAATGTATAAACATAAAAATGTCTTAAAATAATTGTCGGACTTTGTCCATTTCATAATGTGTGACGTCATTTGTTTAATTTGGATACACCATGAGCAGATATGAATGTACGTGAGAGAATCATGGAAGATTGTAGTTTAAAGACAGTAAATTCGACCTTGCTAACCGAACGACCCTCTGTGGCCAAATCGGTTAAAGGCACGTTAGGCTATATAACGGTTCAGTATAGGATACAGGTTCGATTACTGTCGGAGGACGCATATTTTCTGTGAAAATTTCTCGGACATTCAGGCTGGTAAATGTTGTTTATTATAAACATAGCATTTGCTTAAACATTTTTGCCTATTAAAAGAATGTATAAACATAAAAATGTCTTAAAATATTTGTCGGACATATATGTACGTTTTATACATATATGTATGTTATGCATACACATGTATGTATGTGTTATACATATACATATATGTATGTGTTCGTGTTCTTGTTTAATTTTGGACGTTTACGCATGTGTGTACTTATCTCATCATATATTGAAACATTTATTCATGCCATGAAATATTCTAAGTGTTTTAATAAAAGACTGTAACTCTAATGTTTATACATAATTTGGTGCGTCTTCTTTGCTGTGAATTCATTTTTTGTGTTTCTTTAAATTTTTGTTATTTTAGGCAGCAATAAATTTCCCAATTTTGTAATCCAGTTCTTCTTCCTTTACTTGAAAACATTTTAACGAGATTTGACTGAAAGTTTGCGCATGACGAGACCCACATCTTCAGTTGGCAATCTGGCAAAAAGGAAAAAAGAAAAAAAAAACATTTCCGCCTACTGCACAATTTTTCGTTTTTTTTTTTTTTTTTGTTTCCAGCGTTAATTCTTTGTTTTCATTTGTTTCATTGAAAACAAATTCGAGGCCACTGATGTTATATTTAAAGATTTGTGCGCTAAAGAATGTAAGAAAGGACGTTCTTTTAGGAAACAGACGATAGTTTGCCAACCAATCAAATTGCCAGAAATGGACGTCTGTGAAGAAAGGCCTGCATCATTTTGAAGTACTTTAAAATTTATGCTCATTTTAATAACTATTGTGAAAAAGCTTCTTTTAGTAATATATCGAGATAGATTAAGTATTACGTAACCAAAGGTTTTTCGATTGTAACTGATATTAATGTTTTTTGATAATGGATAATGACTGTCAAAGTATTCGAACAAAATATTAACTTTCAATAATTACTTTACAAATGGATGCAGCGTGTGCGGTTGGTGTAATGGATAATGGATTTCAATCAGATAATCGCAGAACCGAGTTCGAATTCCAGTCGTGTTCTATACATTTTTTCCAGACTTGTTTCTTGAAAAATTCATTATTTTCAGACTGTTCCAGTTCCACGTGCTATGTTCCCTCAAGGACACATGGCACAGTGGATAAAGGCGTTAGTTAAATCCAGTGACAGGACCCAAAGTGTGTGAGTTCAACACCCGGTTAAGGCAGTGGAGAACTTTCAGAGGGGAATTTACAGGAGATAACTGATAACTGACTTACATTAAACATGGCACGTGGAACTAGAACAGTTTACCCCAGTGAGCGAAATAAAGGGTTCAGTTCGGCATTCCAACCACCTGAAGAAGGCCGGGACGTACAACGGCCGAAACGTTGTAATAAATATGGTAACAAAGATGAGGACAATAGTCCGACTAATGTAAATAATGTATATAATACCTCATCCCAGAAATATAGACAGATACAGACAATGTAGGCTGTGTGAAGTCAAAAACGGCTATTCAGCATCGAAGTGGTAAGCATTATTTGTTCTGTCTGTGGAAGCAAAGGTTTTGTTACAACCAATTTTGATCAGGAAATTTTTTCTCTCGAACATTCTCTGGCCAATATGTCCTGACAATACTTAGCTTTCAAAAACAGTAGTTGAGGAAAGTTAAAGTGCATTAGAATTAGGAAAAATATTTTAATACAAGACAGATTTAGATTATATAACGTCATCATTAATTTCTCAGCATCTTCAAATAGTTGCTTTCTGCTCCTCATTGAAAAGTTTTCTTGCGACCGAACCTTTTTTTCTGAACACAATCGTTATATATATATATATATATATATATATATATATATATATATATATATATATATATATATATATTGGTTCTCTATAATCATATCAATGAAATCATCACTGATTAGTCACCGCTGAAATTGAGAAACTTATTGCGGAAAAGTAGTCGTCAATTGGAAGAATTGCACAAAAATATGCAAAAACACTGCACTCATCATTGGTTACTAGGTTTATTTTAATTAGCGGCATATCAACACCTCTATGGGTTATGTAATGCCGAAATGTAAATATGTTTTGAATGAATTTGTATACCTTCACTTACAGTTAAAATGTATTGTTGGTCATTTTACTATAAATATCTATTGTTAGTAACTTTACTATAAATATGTACTGCTGTGAATTTTTAGTATAAAAATGTATTTTTATACTTTCATAGTATTTTGTTTTTGTTTGGGGGGAGTCACTATTTGTCATAATTGTTCTCGTGACCTTTCCTCATTGGTACCTCAACTTTACGCACTGTACTAGATTGGCAGCTTGGTGTCATCATTTTACAGCTGAAATGACTAGAAGTAACCGTAAGTTCTATGCTAACAGTTTCTTCTCTCGCACTTTCCGCTTGTGGAACTTTCTTCCTGCTTATGCAGTCATTTTTTAACTTTGAACATTTTTTAAATTTGTTATCTTTTGACTGCTTAATACCTGTTCCGATATTGTTCTCTCTCCTTAATAATATTTTTCTTTTTCTCATATTCTTTCACACACATTAGTAACTCCTACATTTAAAAAAAAAAAAAAGACTATACGTTCTGGTACACCCCGCTGTTCATCTGGAAGTCCTCGACAAAATCTAGAGACGGATATGCATGCGATAGTTCGTGATCTGGCATCTCGTCTTCAGTCATTTTCTCACAGACGTGATGCGGCTTCCCTCTGTCTTTTCTACAAATATTTTCATGGCAACAGCTCTGACGATCTACTTTCACTGGTAGCCAAACTGCATGAATTTAAGCGTGCTACTCGGTTGGCATCTCACCCGTTCACTGTCGAAGCAATTGAATGTAACCGCCTCTTCTACTTCAACAGCGTCTTCTCTCGCACTTCCCGACAGTGGAACTCCCTTCCTCTTACTTGCTTCCCTGATAGCTATCATTTTCAAATTTTCAAATGTAATGTCAATCGTCATCTTCTGATGCCTTGATCCTGATCCCTGTCATTCTCTATGTCCTTTTCTCAAACCCTCTTCCTTACTTTTGCTCCCACTCTTTGTAGCGACTTGCGTGCTAGTGGCAATCCCGCCTTGCTTAGGTTGAAATGCTTAACGAAATACGTTATCAATAATTAGCATAAATATTACCTCGATTAAATAATTCAGTTGAAACCAAAGAAGCTTTTCTTTTCTTTTCAGACTTACTGTCAAATCTTAGCCTTACACTGGTTCGAGGTGCCATTATTTATGTTCAATGATAATACATTAAGAATAAATTAAAAATGAAATATTAACATATCACGTTAATAATACACACTATTTTTGAATTCATCTTATACAGTGCCAATGCCAAAGTCAAGCGATAGCATAAAATGAAATATCTTCGAAAAGAACGGAAAATGCAACACCGAAATCCGAAAGTGCATTGGGATAGAGAAAGATGTCTTCCAAAAGCTAAGCAAAGTATAAAAAAAACATTTCGTTAGAAACAAAGAAAAGAGTACTTAACTATTATGTTATCTCGCGCTTCCTATATGTTATGGTCCAGGTTAGGACCAAGGAAGAACACAAGAGTAGAAATAACGAAGGTATATTACACGAAATAACAATACAAGATTTGGAAGGTGTTAGTATGACTGTCAGACTGGTTTGGAGTGAACTACTATCGGCTTGACTCGATTCGACCCTCTCTCTTGAGAGGCGTAGTATACATAGTGTTAGGAAGAGTTCATTCTGTAGTTATAGGTAACGACCCATGATAGATAGATAGATAGATAGATAGATAGATAGATAGATAGATAGATAGATAGATAGATAGATGAAAAGACTGTCATAGATAGATAGATAGATAGATGAAGAGACTGGGGTAGTGTTATGGTCCAGGTTAGGACCAAGGAAGAACAACACGAACACAAGTGTAGAAATAACGAAGGTATATTACACGAAATAACAATACAAGATTTGGAAGGTGTTAGTATGACTGTCAGTCTGGTTTGGAGTGAACTACTATCAGCTCGACTCGATTCGACCCTCTCTCTTGAGAGGCGTAGTATACATAGTGTTAGGAAGAGTTCATTCTGTAGTTATAGGTAACGACCCATAACACTATACGGCAGTGAATACTCGACATTCTTATTTACATTGTTCGAACTGTTGTCCTGATCTTTATTGCCATATTCTGTTCGAAATTCCAGACACCTGAAGAAAGGCCGGAGCGTACAACGGCTGAAACGTCATGAGTATGGTAATAAAGATTTGGACAATGGTCCGAACAATATAAATAATGTAAACGAAAATGTGGTTCTGCAGGAGGATGCTGAGAATATCATGAACTGATCTTGGGAGAAATGACTCTTAAACTTCACACTAGAGACAATTGACATTTTTAGGACACGTTATAAGGAAAGAGGGTTTGGAAAATTTGTCACTGACAGGACAGAGTGACGACAAGAGGAACAGAGGAAAACAGTGCATTACCTAGCTAGCAAGCTCGTGAAAATGGTTCGTAAAACAGGGATTAGGAGAGATAACGAAAAGGTAAGACGCTCTAAAAGCAACAAAGCACAATGAAATTTGGGTAAGCCATGACCGTCCACGTCCTGAACGAACACAGCACATTTGTTCAACGTGACGGAAAATAAAATTTTTTATGCAGCTTTTTATATTCTTACAATTTTTTTTATGAGGTCTAAGAATATCATTAGACATTTCTATGTTTATACATTCTTTTATAGATACAAATATTTAAGTAAATGCTCTGTTTATAATAAACAGTATTAAACAACATTTACCGGCTTGAATGTCCGAGAATACAGTAAATTCGCCCTTGCTAACCGAACGCTCCTTTGTGGCCAAATCGGTAAAGACACGTCAAGCTAAATGACGGTTCCGTATAGGATACAGGTTCGAATTTCTATGACATTGGCAGAACCTCGTAAGCGATATGGATTGGAATTTTTTTAAAAATATAACTTTCAACGATATTTGTACACGCATTCTTGACACTTGGGAATTTTTTAACAATTCTTTAAGTGCTTTTTAGAATCAAGTCCATGCCTCGGACTACTTCCCAAAGTTCTATTGTTTTGAAAAATCCAATCTAATATCTGCAGACAAACCGTGAATTCTGTATAAACAGCGTCTAATATTTGCGGATTTGTTCTTTGTTCTGAACATAGTTTTTGAACAACACAGTCTGTTTTCCCTTCACTGTATCCGTGCCAAATCGGTGGTGAAAATTTCTCGGTAAGAGTGTTTACGCACAGGAAGAGAACCCAAGCCAGAGAAATCAACAGAAAGAAAGCCAGACACAATGGTAACTACGACTTTCTCTGTCTATCTGATGTTTTATTCCTTCAGGTCTATCGAAACTATAGATATTAAGCACGTATTCACATAAAGGGTTGAAAAATTAAAATATCAGCAAAGATAAATCTGATTTCTAATCATCATACTTATTATAAAACCGAGGTTGTATGTGTGTGTGTGTGTGTGTGTCTGTTCGTTTATATATTGGATCGGATTTCCTACACTTTTCAACCGATTTGAACAAAACTTCACAGGACTACGTAAAATTACCTTGCGGTGGTTCTGACAGCGCTAAAAATTGGAAAAACTCAATTGTTTTTGCACGAAATCAATTTGAAAACACAATTAAGAGGCATCGCTGTCGCGAGAATGAAAAGAGGACAACTCATATCGAGTTATACTTATTATAAAACCCAGGTTGTTTGTTTGTGTGTGTGTGTGTATGTGTGTGTATGTGTTCGTTTATATATGGGATCGGATTTCCTACATTTTTCAACCGATTTCAACAAAACTTCACTTTTTTTTGACATGTAGTGTTTCTTATTGTCTTGCACACTTTTTTCTTTATTTTTACATTGGGAATGCTTAAAAAATTCCATTTACAAGAGAATTGTTTATAATAAAATTCTATTCAATTGGTAGACTCATAACGATTGAAAACAATGTTTTTGTTTGAATTTGGGTTTGACCAATTCGTAAAAATAAAACAAAACAAAACAAAACAAAAAAAAACTAATTAAGACATGCGTGTCCGTCAACCTTAAACAATAATCTTTGTCAATTTTATTTTTCAGTCTTTAGGATGGTCGATACTTGATCTATCTCTTACTGTTACATCCCCGGGCAACGCCGGGCTCTACTGCTAGTCATCAATAAATGCTCATTATACATATATACATGGTGTCACTCCAAAAAATTGACATCATTTTAAAAGCAATTATCTTGAAAACTACTAAGCCTAGCTCAATGAAATTGAACAGTTTAGATGTTGAACATCATAAGTTTATTATGGGACTGATTTTATAAGTGTTTAATATGTGCACCGCCTGTGACACGGCACACGTCAGTTAGGTAGTTAAGCTCTTGCCAAACACGATGTAGCATTATTCAATGAGGAAGTGATTCTCTGCTTGAGTTCATCAATCCTAGCAGAGCGGCCTGAATGTCATAGAAATTCGAACCTGTATCCTATACGGAACCGTCATTTAGCTTGACGTGTCTTTACCGATTTGGCCACAAAGGAGCGTTCGGTTAGCAAGGGTGAATTTACTGTATTCACGGACATTCAAGCCGGTAAATGTTGTTTAATACTGTTTATTATAAACAGAGCATTTACTTAAATATTTGTATCTATAAAAGAATGTATAAACATAAAAATGTCTAATGATATTCTTAGACCTCATAAAAAATTGTAACAATATAAAAAACTGCATAAAAAATTTATTTTCCGTCACGTTGAATATATATATATATATATATATATATATATATATATATATATATATATATATATAAGGAGGCACGGTGGAGTTATGGATAGCGGCTTGATTGAGCCGAGTTCGAATTGAGTCGAATCCATTACATTCACTTGCGGGCGAATACCTTTGGGAAAGTTGTGAATCTTCTTCTTCTCCCTCCAGCTATGGGTAAATAGCAGGACAGACTGGGTTCTATAGCCTTGGATGGAAACTTGTTTAGGAGAAGGACAACTCTGCACGAAATTTTCACAACTATAATCAAATCTCATGTGCTGTTGACGGGCTGTCGGTTTCCTGGAAACTGCTCTGCTTGACCCTCATACGTCGAATATATATAAAAGAAATATAGTTTAATGTGTGCTATATTTATGGGATAAAATACTCACAATTAAAGCGTATGTAAATATAAATATACAAGTGAACATTGAAGTCAACACTCAGAGACGAGAGGCAGTTTCATGCTAGGCGCAATCGTCAGGCCGCGAATGTTGGTTTTTTTCCTCAACTATATATATATATATATATATATATATATATATATATATATATATATATATGGGCCAGTAGTGCATTGTGGGTAATCTATTCTGGCGGTTATTTTTGGCTTGTCTGTTTATTTATTTATTTGTTTTTTATTTTCATTTTGTATTATTTATTCTTTTCTTTTTTTGATGTTTTATTAACGTAGTAAAAGAAAATTGTGGGCATTTGCTTAGGTCGCTTATTTGAAAGTCTTGGTCTGAGAAGATAAGGCTATTCATTCGTTTAATGTTTAGATTGTTTACTGTTGTCTTTCCTGATATATATATATATATATATATATATATATATATATATATATATATATATATATATAATAGATTTTTTCATTTCAATCTTTGAAAGTAAAGTCTGATGATCCAGAGCCCTTTGAAAGGGCAGTGGTGAAATAATTTATTACATGGAACCTTAAAGTGGTCTGTTATATATATATATATATATATATATATGAGTGTGTGTGTGTGTGTGTGTGTGTGTGTGTGTGTGTGTGTGGGATGATATTCGTTTAATTTTGACTATGTCTACAAAGTACATACTCTGTGTGCAAACAGCAAATGGGATAACATAAGATGACCAAATTTATCAAACACAAAATTATCTACGACTGAACTTGAACTCCCCAACTCCGGATTAAACGCTGCTACAGGGATTAGAAAAGAGACTTAATCGGTGTTATGGTTGAAAACTCGAGGCCATAACGATGCGGATTTTAACAAAGGTTTCATTCGGGGATTAATCAATGCCAGACAACGATACAACGCTACGGCAAAGATACGTAAAAAAAAAAAAATCATTAGAAAATTTCGCCCACGATAAGAAAATTCCCATCACTTCCTCTAGCAAAGGAGATGGGATTGCTATCATGAATTACACTGTTACTCCATGAGACATATGTTTATGTGAAAATCGATGAATACAAAATAATTTCCGGGACACAAAGATTTTATAAAGCGGTAAGAAATTTACTTTATAATGAGGACAAGACAGAGTCGAAATGAATCGAGCACTCTCATCATATTCGTCATCGTCGTCATCATCATTAGCGTCATCATCATCATCATCGTCATCATCGTCATCATCATCATCATCGTCGTCATCATCATCATCGTCGTCATCGTCGTCATAATCATCATTAGCGTCATCATCATCATCATCGTCGTCATCGTCGTCATCATCAGTCTCGTGACCGGGTGTGGCGATAGAGTAGCCGTGCAACCGACCTCTCGACTAGTTCCCCCCCCCACATATCTGGGTTCGAAGCCATCCCTTTCCAAATCGAACCCCAGCCGATATACTCCAATTTGAAGGTTACTTTTGCTCACGGACACATGGCTGATGATACCATCTATCCATTCCTAGCCATGGACTTCATTCTAGGAAGATCTCTGCCTATCAATGTCGTGTATATACCGAATGGCACTCAAATATATATCATGGCCTCGACATGGAATGTAACCACACACACACACACACACACACACACATATATATATATATATATTTAATAAAAAATCTTGAAGCTATATACATAAAACAGTTGAAACCTAACCTTCCCATACTTAATAATTCTCGTTTTCACTCTCGCGTAGTCGTGTGTGAAGTTATGAGCTGCGGTGCGATTTTCGTTTCCAGCGTCTCCTATGCATGAGTTTGTCGTTGTTTAGAAATCTTCCATGCAAACAAAAACAGACTATCATTATTGTTTTGTCCGTGTATTGTTTAGTATATTGTAATGTAATTGTCATCTTTGATAATGGCTTATGTAAGCCGAAAGCTGAGGTAGGATTAAAACATGTATCAATATTGTGATTTTCTTTCATCTTTTAATGATAATGTTATTAAGCTTATCAGACGACATGAAAAGATTTTACATAAAATAAATAGACAAAACTTGTCTATATTATTTAATCAGGAAACAGCAATATAAGAAATGCTCAATACCATTTCCGGATCCAAAGAACCTTTTAAACCAGAAATCCGAAGTCCTTGCTTAGAAAATTCATCTTAAGCACATATGAGGATGGATAAAAAAAAAAGTAATGTACATTTCAATTAAACTGATACATTTACAATACCCTTGCTTTTTCTTCTTCTTCTTCTTCTTCTTCTTCTTCTTCTTCTTCTTCTTCTTCTTCTTCTTCCTTACTATTACACACTATGTCCTGAGTTTATTTATTTTTTTGAAAATAATAATAGAGCGTCCATTAGTTATTTTAAAAAAGATAAAGCGTTAAGAGATCATTTGATGAAAATCGCCTGAGGATACCGTAAGATTGAAATCAAGATAGCGAACATATATATATATATATATATATATATATATATATATATATATATATATATATAGAGAGAGAGAGACAGGCAGACAGACAAACATTGACAGAGAGATAACTTGCAAGAAAGCAAGAAGAAACAATACCATCAGTGGCTGTCCTACACAGCCTCTACAAAGCTAAATCAGTTGCTCCATCAATAAATAGGTGATTATTATTATTAATGGAAGAATAGTATCTTGGGATATGAGAGATTCATTGCCACGAAATCGTTTTCGTTATTTTCGTTTAAATTTATAGTTTCTTGTTAAAAAGTATGAAGAATCGAAATGAAAAGCCGTCGTACATTTTTGTTCCTATAAGATATTTTGTCCCTATAAGATCTTTTATCCCTATCAGATATTTTATCACTATAAAATCTTTTCATTTATGTTAATCATCAATTTCATTTACCAATGTTAGATTTTCTTTCATTTTTACATTTAAAACGATTTCGCTCTTTGCAAATCATTTTGCCTCTTTTTCATATTTCTGTGCCAAATTATTTTTTGAAAGGGTTTGGTGCGAGCAGGTGCGAAAAGCAATATCATATTAGGATGACTCGTGTTTGTGCCGATAAAAAATTGTGTGAAGTTAACAAAAGAAAGGAAGAAATATCAAAACACAGACGACAAAACAATGGCGGTGTTTGAATTTTAGGGAAACGAAGTACGCAGCCAAAAAGGCGCGGGCTGACTGTGTCGGATGACGAAAACAGAAAAAAATCATAGACATTGTTTGCCTCTCATATTTTTTATACTTCTAATGAAGTAGTCATTTTTTTTAATCTTTTCGTCATTCCTGTTGTTTGATCTTTTTTCTAATACCCGCCAAACAAATGAAATACCAGCTTATCGTCATCACCGTCTTTCTAAATACTGATAATATCAGTAATAGAATAAATAACATTTAAAAGCTTGAGGAAAACAGTCATTTTTTTTAAATTGAACTGTGTATTTTACAAGCACAATACAGTAGGTTGAAATGTGATGCACCGAGTACAAGTCGCTTACGTCAAAAAAGAGATAAAGTGGTATTCAGATAGATAGATAGAGAGAGAGAGAGAGAGGTAAAGAGAGACAAACAAATGAAAACTACAGAGACGGGAAACTATTTCGCTCTGTCAGAAATATGTTTACATTGAAATAACAGTTATTAAAGGAGTAGGCGCGAGAAAGAAAGAAAGAAAGAAAGAAAGACAGACCTAAATGTACTGAAATTGTTCTGAATGACGACAGTGAGAGATCAAAACTTTAATAGATAGATAGATAGGTTAATAAGAATAGGCCCAGATAGATAGATAGATAGATAAAAGATTTTTATCTACTAAACGATATTGGTTTGGTTTATTTTGTTTTACGGCATATCAAAGTCAATGGGTTATTTAATGCCGACAACATTTTTAGGATAGATTCGTATGAATATAATATGTATTCTTTGGATTAGATTGGTTTGGTTTATTTTATTTTGCGTCATATCAACCTCAATGGGTTATTGAATGCCAACAACATTTTTAGGATAGATCCGTATGAATAGAATATGTATTCTTTGGATTAGATTGGTTTGGTTTATTTTATTTTACGGCATATCAACCTCAATGGGTTATTTAATGCCGACAACTTTTTTCCCTGGTAATATTTTGTTTTGTCAAAAATCTATTTCAGGTAATATTTTTTTCCTCAAAAATGTATAGCTAGTAATATTAGTTTAAAATAGGTATTGCTGGTAATATTTTTTTCGAGAATATATTTCTGGTAATAGTTTTTTTTCTTCAAAAAATTATTTCTGGTAATAATTTTTTACAAAGCATTTCTGGTATTAAAACCTATTTTTACACTTTTATAATGCTTCCTACCTCAGTTTCGGGTTAACTATTTACCCATAGCTGGGACCCTAACAGGCGCTACCACCCCGGGTCAGGGTAGACCTGGGAACACCAGCAATTAAGAGGTGGTTCCACGCTCCTCAAAACCTCCTGATCAGAGGCCTTGCAGTTGGGCGTAGTTTATCGTCTTGTCCAGGACGCGGATGTAGTTCATCGTCTTAACCTGGACAAGGATGTATTTTAACATCATGCCCAAGACGCTAAACGGTATTCACTGAGAGAATCCGTCGTCTAACTACAGATGAGTCGATCGCTCACTAATCCTAAATAATCCATTAAGCTTGTCTAATTTACAATCAATAGGGTTTCATAACACATTAGAACACTTAAATGAATACAAATTAAATCGGTGATTATAAGTAGGAAATTATCTTTGTGGGATTATGGCTTAGTCGTTATAACATTGAATTTTAGGATTAAGGCTCAATTACACTTTTTTTGCCAAGAAAATGATATCTCTTGAAACATGTTTTGGGATGGTTGATCTCTAGTCTTAACCCTTTGAGCCCCGTGTTCCTGAACAATTTGAACCCTTCGGCCTGAGCACTTGAGTTAAAATTCGCAAATAATTGCTATGTAATATTTCACGGTAGATATAAACAATAGTTTGGTGGCTGAGCATTAAGTCATTTTCCTCTACCACCGGTAAATCGGTGGTCAGGGCTCAAAAGTTCAAGTTGTCACTATGCCAGGCTTAGACACTGATGACATGTCAATAACGAAAAATATATTGGTAGTGTCCATCTGCTTGTAAAATCAATTAGAGACATACCCTGTATAATGTTTGAAATATGTCAATAGTTCACATCTACAAAAAGGCTACATAAATTCGAATTCCCGGCCCCCGAATACCTGAAAACACGTAGACGTGTGAAAAATCAACCAAAGTTAATTGACATTGAAAAAACTGACCGGTTCAAAACCAAAAATCTAACATCCGACATTTCACATTACGACTTAGCCTCACACAGTTTTCTATCGCTCTGTTCTTTTGTAAACATTCAACATGTCCTCATCATCAGATCTTCGACTGCTTCAGTCATCGTAGGGGTGGGGGAAGAAGAAACAGACTTTGATTCTTCTTGTTCATGATCCTTTCAATGGGCGTTTAGATAGCTTGGCGGCGCCTATCTCCTCTCCAAACACTTGACCGACAGTCAAAGACCATGGAATATGGCGTGAGTCACTCTCTGTCCATATAATAAGTTTTGAAGTGAAAGTTGTACATCTCTTAGACTTTTTCAAAATTAAACGTAATCCTTACAACACACTCAATGTAACTAATATATTTTGTTTGGTAGGGTTTCGGAACCTTCAACTAATTACACTATATAAATTAATGGCAAATGCCTCTTCGGATTACGCCATTTTGTTTTCTAAATGTTTACATAAGAAAGTTCTAATTTTTGATATCGAGAGAAATTGAAAATCTCAATAAATGTAATACCTTTTCACTGTAAATACTTTATGGCCAATAATCGTTATGGTGGAGTGGTTTACCGAAGGAGTTACTCACCAACTTTCTTTGCGGACTTTTAATCAGAACTAAACACAGGCAGCTTCATCCAAAATTAGTTTTTCTTTCATCTGGAGGAAGTAAAAATTTGATCAGTTGACTATCGCACTAGCGCATGCGCACTGGCAGCCATTTCCCTTATCTGCTGAACACGGACAGAGATGATAAAATTAGAATGATAATTTGTACTATTTTAAAATGTCTCTTTTTTTTCTTCTTCTTTAAAATGAAAGAGTGGTTGATCAAAGACTTTCGTGTGGCAATTTCGTCCTGACTTCTGCGTCAGTCTTCAGACGTAAAATCAAGCGAATTCGCTATTTCCAGCTTTCGACCTTATTCACCATCGGTAATTTGCTTGCCGACACAAGCATGTCACAGTGGAAGATATCAGGAGATTCTATGAAGAAACTAACAAAGGAGATATGACCTTCCATCAAAATTAGTTGACCGTTTTAACCCTAAAGATTTTCAGTGAGTACTTTTGTCGGGTGGAAGGTTAGAGTTGATCAGACAATAATCGAAAATGAGATAATTAAAACTCTGTTTAAATAAATAAGAAGAGGAATAGAGATGAAGGGAGATAATTCACTGTTGTTATTCCTCTGTAGGAAGCAATAACGAATAGTCTACAAACGGCCTATATGTTATACTAGAGATGTTAAATGAATAGGCCCTGAATCTTCGCCCATAAACGGGTGATCTCTCAGAGAGATTCCGAAACCTGGAGACTCCATTAAGACTTAAGCTCAACTCAGACCTCAAGTGGAACACATACCCAATGCTAAGGGTACTTGAAAATTCGTCGTTACCCATACGGCTTCAGTAAATATCTGACCTCTTCTATCCTCTACTTTTACATGAGTTAGGTCAGTTCGAAAATGAAATACTACGGTCATTTTTTATCGGTATCACCCCAAGCAAAGCAGTGGCGGCACTAGCACGCAAGGGGTTACTGAGTGTGGAAGAAGACAAACATTAATAATGAGCAGAAAGAGAAAAGAATATTAAAGAGGGCAGTCGTATTCGTATTTGGTCTGTGTTACACTCGAGTAACCCCATCCTATAAATCGCTCCTTTGTGGAATCGGCTCCCAAGAGGATGCTTCCCTGATTACTACAATCTTAACCAGTTCAAGTGTAGGGGCCACCATTTTCTTCACTCACATAACCCTATTAACTGTTCCTCTTACTCTCTAACCCACTATCTCGAGTGGCTCTTGGGCTTTGGACAGGACAAAGATCACTGTAAAAAATGTCTGGCTTTTACATGCACTTGCTTGCCTGTCAGTGCTCCTACTCACAAAACTGTAGCTAAGCCTTTACAAATGTATTCGCTGCTACACACATAGATACGCAGACAGTCGAAACTAATTACAGTTTCTTTGCTTTCAGTAACACTATTGAGTTTGGTTAATCCAGTCACTACACGAATTGACACAGATAATCCAAAGTAATCCCAAAAAACCACCCAAGGGAAATTGAGTGGAAAGACATTCCATTCTGGTACAGGAAAAAGGGTAGGAAAAAACTGTATAAGAGATGGGAAGAATTAATAGATAGATAGATAGATAGATAGATAGATAGATAGATAGATATATGAAGGGACTGGGATAGATAGATAGATAGATAGATAGATAGATAGATAGATAGATAGAAAACTTAGAAATATTGGTGATGAAAAATTAAGCCTCTTTGAAATACATTTATATATATATATATATATATATATATATATATATATATATATATGAGTAAATTTTCTGATATATATATATATATATATATATATATATATATATATCAAAATTCAATTATATAAAGAATGAAAATGGACACCATAAAAAAATTTTAAAGTATACAAATCATTTGGTATACACCCCCATACAACCAAATGGTAAGAAATAAGTTAGGAGAAACATTTCTTGCATTAATCGATAAACATTTTCCTAGAGAAAATAAACTCAGTGCAATTTTTAATAAAAAATACCCTAAAATCAAGTTGCAATTGTACTGAAAACTTAGAAATGCTTATTAAGAAGCATAATGCTAATATCTTAAATAAACACGTACACCAAAATCAAAAAAATATAAATCCTAAAGTAAAAAGAAATGAAAATAAAGAAAAATTATGTAACTGTATAAATCCTCAACATCAAGCATCCTTTAATAATAATAAATACCGAAATCAAACGCCCTTATCTAAATATTTCTAGCACTTAAAAGAAATCGATAAAATACTAACAGTAAAATGGATATTAATAAGAAAAGCTAGACCTTGTAGGTCATTAAATGTCGCATTTCCTTTGTGCATACATGAAAAATTAAACATTATTAAATTTCTGAATAATAAAAAATTACTAAAGAAATGGAATAGCTATTTTTTGTAGACACTGTCAAATATTTTCCTTAAGTAATAATTAATTTTGAAAAAATAAAATAATAAAGAAAAGAGATGAAACATATATTTTTATATTTGATCTTTCATTTGCAATTAAATTCTGATATATATATATATATATATAATTGTGGAAATACTATATAGTCTACGAGTTACTAGAAGGTCGAATGGTAGTTTTAATCTATAAGAATAAAATTAAATAATAAAATTTAAATATTAATAATATGTCTTGCACATATTTAAATGGCCCTTTTAGAAAATCGTTGTGTATAAAAATATGAATTAAGATGATGAATAAAAATTCGTATTTTTTATCATTGAAAACCCAGACGACTCATTGAATAACGGAAGTATACGTTTGTTAGCAGACATCCCCACCCAACCTAAACTTAACCTGACTTTGTAAGTAACATATATTGCATACATAAGAAATTAAAACTGAGCCACCCCTAAATTAAAATACATTTTCCTTAACCTTAATAACTTATAATATCAATATTGTCTGCGCTTATAAACTAAGTAATTTTTTTAAAGTTTATTCGTTACATCGCTTGACAATGGAACGTGAATATGGATTTTAATTTTAATTTGTATAATTAAATTTGTAAATTTAGTTTTAGTTTCGAAACATGGAAATTTTCTGACATAACAAAGGAAAATATTTATTGGTAAAAACAAACACTAAATACTAAAATTAGCATAAAAACATACGACGTTAAAAAAAAATTATTAAAATAATCCTGTTCTTTTTATACTAGTCGAGTATAGGTATTAAAATAAACATTATATATGTATATGTTATTTAAGTCCCTTTTGATATTTCTAGCTGTATCATGTACAATGGAATAGGTACATTCAATTGAGATGTCTTTAGTTAAAGTTTCTTTCCAACTGTGAAAAGAAAATGCTCTCAATGTGCTTGGTTTCCTACCGTAGTGAAGGGATAAATGGATGGGAAAAATTTATGAATATCAAACAGAAGATTTTAGGGTTTCATTTTTTTGATGACATTTTAATTATCAGGTTTACTAAAGTGTATTACTGATGAATTTTAACAGTTAATTTGAATTTTAGCGACATACTGGAAAAATTCGGCACTTCTATTCTGGATTTTTGAACTCAAAAATACGTTTTTCTTATAAAAATAATTTATTTCATGTGACTTACATAAATTGCTTGGCCTACCTAAAAATTGATGAGTTTCTGTGAGCTTTATTAACTAAATTTTGCAATCGGGGAAGATCATAGATTGATCTTCTTTTTTTCCCAAAAATGAGAAGTTTCATCACAGCAAAATTGGTAGCTAAGCATGAAAAACTAAGATCATTTTCTAAATCAGCATCCTCAAATTAGCTAAATGTGTTTTTTTTTCTTGGCACCAAAGATCATGTTGACCAGTGTTATCAATGTGTAGTGATATATTTCCTGTCACATTTGTAGTGAGAAGGGAGATAACTCAACTTTGCCAATTTATATGTGATTAGTTCCCATAACCGTTTATTTCATTGCATATTCACCAATTTGTAACAATTGCTCATTTCTGACGTCATACTATTATTATTATTATCATTATTATTATTATTATTATTATTATTATTATTATTATTATACTGGTATTATTATAAATGAAAATGTTTACTGTTTACTATTGAATTTTATATGGTTGTACTGAAATAATATTTGTATATTTTAAAAATAATAATTACACGTTTATTTATATGTTAAAGCCAACATGGAAATTTGTCGATTCGGTTTCAAACCGCGGCTGAAATTTTATAAATTCCTTTAAAAGGTTCAGTTTATAAACTTTTAATTTACCAACGTCGTCGATTTATAAATTTCCTGAAGTTTGAAACAGAATCTAAAAATACTAACCGAGGGGGTGGAGGATCTAAACGTTTAGTTTCGAAAACAGTTTTGTATTAAATGATTTCTTGATCATTAATCAAAAAATCGACTTGTACACAAGATTAGAGTGAGATTTTAGGCGTTAATAGAAAGTTCCTATTGTGTAAACGAGAAGGGCATAAAAATGTTCACACCCAGTAATTACATGTCGGCCACACCTAATAAACCAGTTTTTATTATTTAAAAACGCTGCCATGTCCCCAACCTTAAATTCTTCAAGATGCAGGATGTGGTGTGCTTCGCTAAAATGTTGACGAGTGTGTTTGTTTGTTTCTTTTTACGTTTGCCAATAGCAGAGAGGCTTGACTCTTAAAAGGGCAATGTCCTTTGTTTCTCGAAATATTTTTCTTTTCTTTTTTATCGAGTCAGAAACAAACCAAAGATATGAATCAGATATCTTTTAGTTACTTGTTCCTATTTACTTTTTCTTCATATCATCCGTCATATCACGGGTAGGACTGATAAAACAAATACATCGAAATTTTTGGTGGATAACACTACTCTAGGGACGTTTGATGCCCGGTGAGTAATATATGGCCATCGTCAATCGGGGATGGCCAGCCTGTTTTGAATATGACTGCTGGGTAAAACACAAAGATCTCAATGGCGAAACAAATAACGAGACAGTCATTTGGATGCACATATATCAACACATTGAGGCACAGCAAACGTGCGTCCTGTCATATTATATGAATCATTATTATCATCAGTCCCATGGTCGGAAATTCACGAGTGGCGTGGTGGATAACGGTTGGGGATGCGAAACAGGTAGAGTCGAGTTCCAGTCGGATTGGTTACGTTCACTTCGGCGCCAATACACTTATGAAAGGCATGAATCCAAACCCACCAACCAAGGGAATTTATATTTTAGGACTTGTTACTTGAAAAAACATTATCATTCCTAAAATATGGTTAATGCAATATTCAGTCGATAAAAAGTCAAATGATTTGACTTTGGTTTGGTTTGGTTTGGTTTGGTTTATTTTATTTTATTTTACGGCATAACAACACCTCAATGGGTTATTTAATGCCGACAACATTTTTATTGCTGGTAATTCTTTTTTTCAAAAATGTATCGCTGGTAATAATGTAATGTTAGTAATAATTTTTCTAAAAGTGCCTACAGAAGCCTTCTATATATATATATATATATATATATATTGATAATATTAGTGGTCAATATATATATATATATATATATATATATATATATATATACATATATATATATATATATATATATATATATATATATATATATATATATATTAGGTTAGTTCAAAAATAATGACGTAATAACGTCGTTTTTTGACGTTACGTCAAAAAAACGACATTATTACGTCATTATTTTTGCACCAACTTAATATATATATATATCCAAGAGGATATATTCCAGGTAGAACTCAATGTCCAGGACAGAGTAAGAATATAATATAAAAGGCTCAAGCACTAATATTCCATGGTTATAATTTATTAGATTGGAATCGTAATCACGATTTAATTCATCAGACCTACAAGTTCAAAAAGAAATCGGAAAATATAACACCGGGTATAAAAAAACAAAATTTATTGAGAGCGTATGTGTGGGAGTGGGAAACAAGTGTGAGAGGGTGATGTATGAAAGCTTTAGAGAGATGTGTAACAGAAGAAAGAAGAACAGGAAGGCCTAAAAAGGTGAAGGTAGGGATTAAAATTAAACATAGAGAAGTTTTAAAGGCAGGAATTAAATAACGGTTTAAATGAATAAGTGGACAATGAAGTCAACACTCAGAAACGACAATCTATTTCACATTAAACGAAATCGTCAAGCTCTCTCTCTCTCTCTCTCTCTCTCTCTCTCTCTCTATATATATATATATATATATATATATATATATATATATATATATATATATATATATGGAGCGGGTAGAATGGAGATCAACGTGTTTTAGTGGACTCAGCAATTTTCAATCCTCTTGTCTGAATCATCTTTAAGAAGCGAGAGCAAGATCTAAAAGGTCAGTCAATCTAACAGTGTTCTCATCTCACAATCTTCACAGTTGCTCCATATGTGGCCTCCTTTGTAAATCACTAGCGGGTCTTAAATGCCACAAGATTATCGCACAAATTTTCATAAATGAATCAATAAGCTGTCAGATCCTCATACGTCGAAACCGACGGAGAGTCCATTATCATATATATATATATATATATATATATATATATATATATATATATATATATATATAGTTATTAAATAATACATTTTAGATGCATCAAGGGCATTGTTCAGTTATGCAATGTTCTCATCGCCGATTTCGGGTTTTGCATCATATCGGCTCTAACAGCAACGCCGACCTGATTCTAGACGAGCCAGACCGCCTCCTTGAAAGCGTCGTGCTACACACCGCGACATTGCAAAAAACAGTAATCACATGGCGAGTAAGGTCGGACTTCGACCGTTCTTACTGACATACG